TTATTTATTTCCCTCATAAAAAAATTTTGTTCTTCAGTTGGCAGGGAAAACTTAGTTCTTTCAAAATTTAGTTATGATAAAAGAAAATAAAGAAGATTTTATAAAAATTTAAAGATTAATTTTAAAAATGATAATCTTTCCAATTTACCTATTCTTAATAATCGAAGAAAAAAAAACAGAAACTCAGCCCAACAAGAAACTTGCGTATTCAGATTGTACGAATGATTTATTTTATGTAATTAATAATTTTAAAGTAGTGCAATTATAGAAAAAAAATCGAATGTATTTTGAACATCATGAAGCTCTAAATCTTAATGCTTTTCGCGCTGTTTGTTTAAATAAAATTATTGTCAATTTGGAACATCATCTTTGTTACTGATAGTGATTACTAATAGTTTAGATCAATAAAAATGTTTTGCAAATTAGTTAACAATTTCTGAAAGCAGAGTTAGAAGGACTTCGCATATCATCAAAGTAGTTCAATAATGAGTGATTTTGTTATCAAAATCGCTATCAACCTACTTAAATAATTATCTTAGGCGTACAAATAAGTCAGTTTAACACTCAAAAATTTATCTTGACGTCACATAGCAAAATATTTTTTATTTGTAACAAGTGTTCATTGTGAAATATTCAATTTCAAGCCTTGTGATACTCTTTTTGAATTGAGGCGTTTGTACAATACACAATACAAATGACACGTGTATTTGAAATAATATTTGTGGAATAATAAAACTTGAATCAAGATAAAATCAGTAAAAAGCACTAGATTTTCCGTCGAATATGTCTATTTCAGCTTGACCCAAATCTTTTGTCGTCGATAACATTGGCCTTTACTTAAAATTGCAAACAAGGACAAGGCTCGGATCGCGCATCGGATTTACCTAAGATAACACATTCCATCTCAAATTCTCGAAATCACTGTAAATTAACAATTAACACTTCGGTAATTTATTTATTTGTCCGAATTGACGAGCAAATTGTTCCACAAACAAAGCGACTTTGACACCAAATCCGCGTAAACAACGCTTTGTTAAAGAGTAACAAAACTCAAAAGGTTTCCGGCGTTTGTAAATATTTTTCCGAGATATTTCTATCGCATAAACAAAATTTCGCAGATGATGGAGATTATGTCAGCTTGGGGCCCACTTATCTACCTTGGCTGTTGGGCGGCGACTCTAAGTACGGCCCTGACAAATCTTCTTTCGGTCCCGAGATTAATCCAAGCATTGGGAATCGACAGGATTTATCCAGGATTAATCTACTTCTCCAAAGGATATGGAAAAGCAGGAGAACCGTATCGAGGATACATTTTAACTTTTCTAGTGTCGGCGGCTTTTCTCCTAATAGGTGCTCTTCAATCAACGATAATCTGACACAAATCTAAACCGCCTTTTGCAGGGGAATTAAATGCAATCGCTCCGTTGATCTCCAATTTTTATCTAGCCTCCTACGCCCTTATCAACTTTTGCACTTTTCATGCAGCCTTAATTAAACCCTTGGGGTGGAGACCGACATTCAAAGTAGATACTCTCTCATTAAATAATTAGTTAATCAACTCCTATTTTCAGTATTACAACACGTGGTTGAGTCTTGCCGGATTTATCAGTTGCGTTGTTATCATGTTCTTAATTAACTGGCAATCGTCTCTGATTACTTTCGGGGTAATTATCGCCTTGTATCTCTTGGTGGTCTACAGAAAGCCAGGTATTGGGGGTTAAAAATCGTTCAATTTTTCATTAAAGGAGTTTCAGATGTCAATTGGGGCTCCTCCACCCAAGCCCAGACGTACAAAACAGCCCTGACCACAGCCCACCGCTTGATCAACATCGGCGAACACGTGAAAAACTACAAACCACAAATTTTGGTACTTTGTGGATCCCCATCGTCACGGCCCGCTCTCATCGATTTTGGCAACTTAATAACGAAAAATAATTCGTTGCTTATCATCGGGGACGTGACAGAGGTACCCCCCAAAGCCCCCATGTCTTATTTTTTAAGTGGTCGAGTTTTAGACGAAGTTGCAGCATCGGGTCAGGTCGGCTCGCATCCAGAACGTTTATTCTTGGCTTCGAATTAACAAAATCAAGGCTTTTTATTCGATTTTGGATAATACACAGTTCGAAAATGGGGCTAAGGCTTTATTGCAAACGGCCGGAATCGGCAAACTGTGCCCCAATGTTCTGATGATGGGGTATAAGAACGATTGGAGGACTTGCCCTCGGGAGGAACTGATGGCGTACTTCAATGTTTTACAGTGAGTACAATTTGTGTGTTTTTGGGGAGGTTAAGTTGGTGTTTTAGTGCCGCTTTTGACCACCGACTGGCTGTAACGATTTTGCGTCTGAAAGACGGTCTGGATTACAGTAAACTGATGGGCGAAGATGAAGGTTCGCCCAATGAAGGCACTCTCTCCCAACAACCCACAATGGATTTAAGAGGTTTCGCTACAAGTAGTATGATGCATGCTGATTCGAATTTAAGTTTAGCCGATTTAGGAAAATCAGATACTGTTACTCCTAAAAATACAATAAGTAAAACAGTCACTGATAATAATTCTAGTTTTAATTGCTTGATTCCAGATGGGGTCAAAAACGGGCACGGGTTGTTAAACACAGTCTTTGCCAAGAAAATGAAAGTCACTGATTCAACCAGTGTTCAGCATATCCCCAATTTCGCGATGGAGAACATGACGCTGTTCCGGAACAAGCAAAATAAGGGGAACATCGACGTTTGGTGGCTGTACGACGATGGGGGGCTCACGATGCTCCTCCCGTACATTATCTCAACCAGACAAAATTGGGCCAATTGCAAACTGCGAGTTTTCGCACTCAGCACAAACAAAAACGAGATCGAAGAAGAGGAGAAAAAGTAAAGTTGAGACTTTGTGTACCACTAAAACAAACTTTTTTCCAGCATGGCGTTTTTGTTGTCGAAATTTCGATTAAATTACTCCAGTTTGAAAATCGTCTCGCTTTCGGATAAGCCACAAGAGGCGACGATTAAATTTTTCAATGATATGATTAGTGACTTTAGGACAAATGATGATCCTGACGATGGTAATTAACACTACCAAAAAATTCCTCATGCTACTTTTTGCAGAATCTAAGGTTTCCGAAGCCGAAATAGCGTCACTCCAAGACAAAACCTACCGGCAGTTGAGACTCCGCGAATTACTTCTGGAACATTCGAGTGAAGCCAATTTGATTGTCATGTCTTTACCGATGCCGAGGAAGGGTAAATTATCAGCACCTTTGTACATGGCATGGTTGGAAGCACTGACTCGAGATTTGCCCCCCTATTTGTTAGTGAGAGGGAATCAACAATCTGTTCTCACTTTTTACTCGTAAGAAACGTACTCAAAGTATTCTCTTAAACCAAAAATATTACCAAGTGTTAGTTTACGTGCCTAAATAATATTTATTTTATTAACTATTTAATGATAATGTAATCAAATTTTATAAATTTGTACGACTCTAATAAATATTTTTTGTAATAAAAGTAGTGTTATTTTACAATTCCTTGCCAAATCTTGTCACTTAAAAGTTTCAACAATTTATTCTACTTTCACACAAGATTTTCGAATCCGACAGGATTATTAATATTTAATGGTAACGTAATCAAATTTTATAAATTTGTACGACTCTAGTAAACATTTATTGTAATAAAAGTCGTATTATTTTACAATTTATTTTCAGATCTTGTCAATATAAAGATTACAATAGTTTCAACAATTTATACAATTAGTACAACTTTACTTTTCGGGACAATATACAAATAGTGTCTTTTCAATGTCAATAAATGAGTAAAAAATAAATAAAACAATGGAATGTATAAAAAAATATGTAAAAGCTGCTAATTGGCAGTTGCAAGAGAGTATTTTGATGATGGGAAATAATATCACAATTACGAATACTTACAGTTATTAAAGAAACATGCAATTAATGAGTGGGCCTCAGTTGTTACATTAAAACAGGCACATTAAATATTAGTAGTTATTGATAAAAATCGAGGAGCTGCCCCACAATAAAAACTGGCAGATCCTCACATTTTTGAGCCAAAAATCTAAAATTGCTCTTTTTTTTTAGTAAATTTTTGTGCATCCAATACACTGAAACAATTGCACGCTACAAAGTGTAAAAGCACCTTATACAAAATCAAATTGAGTCGAAAAAGGCTCCCATGCGATGCGACAGGCCGGACTGTACTACACTGCAGTGGGAGTCCTCGATTGTCAATGCCATTTCGCCTTCTGTGCAAAAATATCAGCTCGCAGGTTTTGCGCGAAACAAATCCCCAAAATCTAGAGAAAAAGAAAATTATCAATAGTAATACCCCGAGTGCATGCCAAATTATCGGTAAATTAAAAATAAATTAGGATCAATTTGGCATGCGCGAGGAATATTTTGCAGACTATTTCCCGAACATAATTTACAAAAAATATGTCAAAAAAAATTAATAAATGTTGTGAGGGAAATAGTCACTGAAAATATTCCAGAAAATACGCACGACTAGACACCTACTTGCAAAAACAAAATAATAAAACCAAATGTTGCTAACGAAATCATATTTCGCTCCAACCATTCTTCAATCGCTTCCAGACATCCTTTCTCGTTAATTATTTTTGACACATCAAAATTCTGCAACAACCACAAAAGCTGAACAATAAGCAAACAAAAAATGGATAAGGAAAAGTGGGAGGTACCTGAAGCACCATTATTCCCACTTTTACTGCAGCAACAGGGACTAGATTGCCCTCAATCCACTCTTCACCCGCGCGCAAGCAGCCCCTTTCGAAAATGTGCCGCTCTCCGGGCTGCATAATTTTGGTAATTTTTTTTACAAATGATTGAGAAATTAAAAAAAAACAATACTTACGAAACCTGGTTTTCGCACGTCGTAACCGCATTGTTTATTCTTGATAATTTCCTAAAAGAAATTTATAGATCACTGTGGTTAAAAAAATGTATTTTTTACATTTGGTTTGCGTTTACAACATGAGAAAGGGACACCACAAGCCTCCCTACTGCCAACATCGCGCGATGAACAATTAAAATAATTGTTACGATCCCAATCTTTGGGCCCTTCTATACCACAACATTGCAACTAAAAAAAATATAATAAGAAAGTGCCACTAAATTTGAAATAAAATACCCAGTCCTCTTGGATCCAGTCAATTAAATTTTGCTGATCTGGATCTTCCCTATAGTGAATAATAAAAGTCTGGAAACCTATCGTAGCTTGAGATTTAATCTGGAAATATTTTTTATAAGTCATTATGCAAACGAGTGGTAGAAAAAATGTTTCACTTGATTGGTTTTGATTAGTTTCTCTTGTAACACTGAACAAATTCAATAGCCTTGATTCTGTTGACTCGAAATCGTGCAAAATAAATCAATAAAACATTCAGAAATGTGTGTAATACAATTTCTTCAAACTTGCCTATTGATCAAATTTATAATCAGAATTCTGACTCACCCAATCCTTAAAAATAAATCCGAGAATTCCGGCCGTCATTTCGAATAAAAGTAACACAGATAAAAATATGGCATACTGAAAATTACAAATATTAGTATAAATCACAGGGACATAAACATAAACTAACTGTAGCTAAAAGACAAGTATTCTCACGCAGTGCCCCCACACATCCTGTAAAGCCAATAATAAAAGTCACAGTCCCTGAAATAAACCAATTATTTCAAAATCAATCCTATCACAAATTTATTAGTATTACCAATACATATCAAAATAAACGCTGGATCAAGTGCAACATTTGCTACTTTTCCTAAATTATTAAAAATGTCTTTTTCGCTCCAAGCCCATACTCCTACAGTCAAAATACCTAATCCCAACAGCTACAATAATTAATAAATCAAACAAAACCGACCTAAATGTAACCCACCATACCCAAAAGAGCACGTTAAACCCAAATATCATATATTTCAAACAGCCACTGACTTCGCTCGCTTCGCGCCTGTATTTCCTCACAGGCATTGTGGGCAGATTCACGGCCATTTTCAATTAAGTATTTTTTAAATAATTTTAATTAAACTAGGAAAATCAGGAAATGTATCATTGTTTCAGTGGCCTTGACTAAAACTTCTTTGCTAATCCAGGTAGATTACTAATTTGGAAATCGGTGGCTTACACGGCATTTCACATTTAGAAGACAAAAACTGCAAAAAACACTCACTTCACTATTTTCTTGAGAAAAAACTACTGTTGGTTTTGCGTGTTGACATAACACAGATGGTATTGACAGTGACGTTTCCTCTGATCAATGTTTTCCAACAGAACCCTGCTTTATCGGCGTCTATACTACTTCCAGATGTCACTAGTTCTACTCCCCAGCATGGCCTACTCTGCTTCATAGATGAGATATTATAAGTAGGGATACTCTGCTTCATTATTTGGAACGGAGCAGAAGACAGATAAAATAGCCATGCAAAAATTAAAATTAAAAATTGGTGAAAGATTGACTTATTTAATACTATTTGTGCCAAATTTATAACTACCTAGCTAAAATAAATTAAAATTACAAAAAGAAAATAATAATGTTGAGTTTGTTACAAAAATTTAAATTAAAAAGTGTGATGCCCTCTAGTTAATCAACTTTTGTTATTTGAAAATTAACGGTAAATTGAATTAAGTTTAAAATATTTCCACGCATTTTTTATAGCTTGAAATTTTTTTATCAAAATGATTTCTGTTATTACAACAGTTCTTGTGTGTTTCTCTTCTCCCATAAAAGTGTCATAAATTTGTTCCTCAAGGCAGTTTTCCCTTCATTCCAAAAGCTAAACAAACTCGTATAAATCTGTTGACAGTGAAAAAACTTTTCTCTTCAACAATTTATAATCCATTGTGATTTTCAGAGATTCATTAGCATATTTAATACTTTGCCCCAAAAACAAAACAATTTCGTTCTTTGTAATTTCCCTAACTTTTCACTTCGGTGCAAAGTTCATTTTTTCAAGTAGGATTTTTTTATTGTAATTCGTATTTGGTAAATAATGAATTCAAACAGGATTAATCTTTAGTGGAATAGTGGTATGCGCGCTTGCGTTGGTGGCGGCGAAACTTTTGGCGGTTATCGCTCGGAGGCGGCAGTATTCTCCACCTCTTACACTGTTTAGGGCTGGAATATAATCTCATAGTTCGCGTGCGTAGCTATCTGCCAACATGCAAATCATAAAAAATAATACCGAAATACCCCATGTATGCCATTAAAATCGCGTAATTAGAACACGCTTAAAACGCTTTGCATTGCTCTGAAATGTTACACGTTTCGGGAACTTTTAAAAAAGTTCTTTTTAACACCGGTTTTGGGCTTGTGTGAGTGGGTGGTGCATTTTTGTGAACTATTTCTTTCATTGTAAGTATTTTTTGTTTTTACAAACAAAAATGTTTACCTAGATGACTGATAACAACAACGACTAATGGCTAGCAATGTTTTTATTATAGAAATTGGGTATTGATTTTATTGAAATGTAATGTGAAAACATATGTAATGTAAGTCATGTTTTCTATTAGAAGTTTATGGAGAAGAATTTTATTCATGTGACGGCAACTTTTTTATTTTATTATTCAAAAACTTATCTGTTTACAAACTCTCATTTAATTTTAAGAAAACTACGTGAAAAGTTTATTTGTGCAACTTAAAAAAAAAACGTCTTTTCAATTTTTTTATGAGAAGCAGTTGGAACACTAATTACAAAATCGTTATGCAAAATTTATTACAAGTAGTTATCTCCAGAAAATCGATTTGATGTGAAACATAAATTAAATTTATTTCGCAATACTCGTTAATGTTACTTCCTTCTTTAATCGATTTGTAGCCTATTAGAGACATTAAATATATTGTTTTTTCATAGTTGTGCCTAATAAATATAATTGATTTGACTTGTTAAAAAATTGTAACCCGGCGCCTCCACCATTTTCCCCACTCACAATTTACTTATAATTATGAAGATAAATAAGTATTTTTTGTCATAGAAAAACTGGTCCAAAAAGAACGATGCCGTTTAATAAAAACGTCGCTTATAATGGCTTTATGCATGGCTTGTTTCGTTAGGAGAACAATGTGAAAAATCTGCAATCGTCTCGTGGCAAGTGTAAATTGTGGGGTAATTTATTAAAAGGAAGCTTTAAGCATTCAGAACGGTAACACATTACTCATGTAAACGAGTTTAATTAGTGCTTTCTTCTCGAATTTCAAAACAAACGAATTTCCGGAAGGTCTCTTTGTTCTGTTTATTATAACATGCAGGCGAAACGAACTACACGCGTTTAAGAGTTTATAATTCCTGTTCACGCCCCCAGGTTGACAAATTTTCAAAGTCAAACAAAGAAAATATTTTTGTGTTTCAAGAAAGTCGATCAATTTTGCACGATCTTCTTTGATCTTGACGAGGAAACATCCGTTTCGTTGGTCTTTGAGCGATTTAGCGGAACAAAAAGCCAACTCTTGAAAGCTTTAAAATTAAATTAGGTTTTAAAAATTTAGATTTGTTGCAAGTTGCAAATCGATTAAAATTAATTGAGCACAATATAAATCACTCAAAGAGACAGAAACTGAAGTTTCAACACTTGGAAATTTTGCCAATTGTTAAATGAGTGTTTAAGTGTTTACCAAACTTGTAACAAGATTAATCTCTTCTACTTTAAATTGTTTTAGACACAAATTATCCTAATTCCAGGTTCGAGTCTAATTTTTTTGGCCAAGTTGCGTTATTATCTCATTATCTCCGATTTTGGACAAGGGATTTCCGGACCGTTAAACTCCCCTCAAGTACATATATTCTAAGAATGTCCTTTAATCTTTCCCCCAGTGAATTTATTGGGTTTTTGTAAAACTGAGGTGTTAAAAATTCAATTTGTCAACGTCAAAAAAACAGTATCGAAATAATTAAACTTCCTTTCAGTTAACTGACATTATAAGCTCATTGGTTAAATGCGCCAATAAAACTTTATTAGGCTTTTATTAATCCACCAGCAATAAATCGGATAGGTAAAGCAGTGAGAATAGAGTTTAATAAAGCCGGAAAAACAGAAATTCGCTGTGTATCAAAAACACTTAAGATCTTAATCGCCGCATTTGCGGGTGCTTTAATCCGGGTGAAATTTCACAAAGGAGTTAGAATAAAATTAGAAAAATATGCTTTGGGAGAATTCAAAATTTGATTTGCTGTTTGATTTATGAGTACGAAGCGCAGCATTTCACTCACAATAAAAACTAATTTCGACATCGTCGGATTTATAATTAATTCCAGCCCGGAAAGACGGGAGATTTTCACAAATTTTTTATTGATCGGATTAAGCCAAGTTCAACGTTTATTTATCTCCGGCTCTAAAAATAATACACATTTTACGATATTCAAGCAAGCTATTATTGAGGTCGAGAAATGTTTTTAAAATAAGCACGAGTGACTTTAAAAGGTCAAAAGGAAATTATTTTTGTCAGGATGTAATTAAGTTAAGACCTTGATTGTGATTGCTGGATAAATACAGTTATGGTTTTTTTACCATCTTGGTTTCTAAACGAAGTTGAGAGCCTTTCAGCTAATATCTGGAAAAGGGTTTATGTTTATGATGAAGTAAAGGGATTAATTTTCATGCAAATTCAATTAAAGGCTTGAACATGAACAGTAACTATATTGTGGTTGTAACACGAACACCATCCCTGAGTTTGTTTTCATTTCTTTGTCTTGCTCGCGAGCTTTAATCCTAACTGTCACCTGAAATTTATCACAGCCATCATGTTTATGTTGGCATTTTTCAGTAGTATTTAACCACGGTTGAGTTGGCATAAAAGGCAAACCCGTGTTAGATCAAAGCTTTATGTCGGTTAATATTAGTAGTACAATAAAACGTATCTCTGTTATCGCAAGATAGGGCTGAATAGCAGCCCCAACAAAAACTTCTTTATCAGGTAGGCAGTGTCGTAGCCCTCCAGTTATACGACGATACGAATATCGGCCATAAATTTGAATTTTTTCCGCAAAAAAACCCCAATATCTAGCCATCTTCCAATTACGATATCGAGGAAAGAGTAATTACCATTTTAAAGACGACTCATGAATTATTCAACTTGACAATTTGTGTTGTAATTCCTTATAAGTACTCCTTGATAATGTTTATTTGATTTTAACTGTTTCATTCACAAATTTGCGCTGTGTGGAACTAAACCAATTGGAATCCAGCGCCAATTTGCATATCAAGATGTAAAAACGGTCCAGATTTATTCCTTTAATTAGGAGTTTCTATTTTAATAAAACTCAACTCGGGTAATCACAACAAATAGGCGAAAACAACAAAGGGGAAATTTGAGGTCTACATTTAATTATTAGAGATACGTAAACGTTTCTATATAAGGAACATCATCAAAGCTTTTATTATCTACCTGGCCCATAACAGTAATTAAATTTTATACGAGTTAAATTTGCTACAATATTGAAGAGGTTAAATTATACTCCGTAATTATTTGTAGGCGGAATTTTTCCCTTTATACTCCTTAATCAAATTATTGAATTGTTTTAGAAGACAGACAACGCTAATTTGATTAATACGCAATTTTCTCCCCAGACAATTTTTTTTTTAAATAAAGCTAAAAATAAAACAGTGGTTTGACAAAAACAAAATGTTGAATAACTTTACAATCAATTTTCGTGATAATAATTGTCCATTTTTGTGTTTCAAAAATAATTACTTTTGTTATTAATACCTGCTATAAAAAATGTTTCTATTTTAAATTAGGTATAATTAGGTTATAAAAATAGGTTTCCTAATTTTTCTATTGTAAGAAACTAATTATAACACTAGTTTACAAAATCTACCTTAGTAGAAAGTTATAATTTCTTATTGATTTTGAGGCACTGAGTTAAAAAAATCCACTACAGTTTAAGAAATTTGTAATTAGCAAGAACCGCCAAACAACAAATAAAAAAATAAGTTATTTTACTTTGTTTTTATTTTTTTTTGGACCAGTTTCGCTTGTAACAGTCCAACAGTAATCTTCTAACATATTTTCATTTCAAAAACATTTGCGCCAATTTTCGAAATTTATTTTAAAACCTATTTAATAATAATTTTGCAATAATTCAGCAAGAATTTGAACTTTAAATAAATTTTAAATTGGAGGCATTCGTGCAAAAAGCAATAAAATTATTGTTCACAACAAAAAATTGTAACGTTATAAAAAATTAACTGTTATTTGTTTCATTAAAGGTATATAAACATAAAAACAATAATTTGATTAAAGGTATATTAAATAATAATAAAAATGAATAAAAATGGTAGAGGCGACAGGTTAAAAAGTTTAGTTGAAATTAATTTAAACACAGTTTATTAACTAAATTTAGCAAAATTATGAAAAATTTTATAACTGCCCAAAGTGAGTCAAAGATAATAGTCAAATAGATAACAAATACATTATTGATATTTGAGGTAATATTTTTTTAAATACATATCTTTCTTATACTTGTATATATAAAATATGTGTAAAGTTAAGTTAAATAAATTATATTATAATAGTTATTTTTGTTACAAAAACCTAAAATATAGTTTTTGAGGACAAATAATTTCTGTTCGTTGCAGATGAGTCCGCAAAAACTTCTTATAGGTACGTTTTAGAAACAACAACTTTTACAACATTAGTTAAATATTTCAAAAACACAATCAACCTTTTTATTATGTACGCTTAGTTTCTCGAAAACAGTAGTTAAAAATGAAAAAAAAACAATACCCAAAATAACTATTTTACGTATTCTATAAAAAAAAAGACTTTAATGAGTCCGAAAAATAACTATTTTTGGGAGCTGTATAAAAAAAATCGACAGTTTTAAAACAATAAATTTTTATTGCAAAAGTTTGGAACGAAAGCATCTTCAACTTTTCTGTACTTATTTGTTGTCAGTAACATAACATTTAAAACAGTAGTGAATTTTTATTTGTTTGTGATTTGTTTTTTACAATTTTCTTGTGATTTTTTGAAAGGTTTTAAAATGCCTCTTGCGAGTTTTTTATGTGCTTTTAAAACAAATATTTATGCAATTTTTGTAGTAATGCATTTCATTCGCAATTTCACGGTTGTTTCCTATCAATTTTGTAGTATCAGAGTTAATAAATTTTTTTATTGATTATCGCAGTAATAACCATCACCAAGAGCTTAGTTAACTTTAAAACCGATCATGTTTGAGCACAATTAAAAAAAATCACTTGATTGATAAAAATGAATCATAATTATCTTCAATTCTCCATTAGTCATTAATTGACTCCAATTCACATTGAAACGGCGAAAACAATTTAATGTTCATTTAACGTTGAAATTAGTAAAATGTAAATGATGTAATGGATGTATGTACTCTGCATTTAGTATTATACGTGTTTATTCTATTCACGCCTCTTTTGTTTGAAATTGCACATAAACAATTTATAACGAGACACATTGTTGAAGATTCATTTCTATTGTTTCGGACGTTGAAAAAGATTCGCATGCAAATAAATTTTTTGTCCAAGTGTATTCACATATTTTAACTAAAACTATCCTAGAAACTAGAGATTTATTATGTTTGTTCCAAAAAATACGTTTCTTTTTCGCAAATTTATAACAAGATTGACAAGTCGGAAAAATTGAATATTATGCCACTGTCGGCTCAAATCTTGTTAATATTTTTCTTTGTGATGTGACAGAGTTTGAAATTTTTTTCGCTGTGACTTTAACCAATAGTATTATGGTTGCAATTTGTGTTCTCGAGTTCGAGTTATGCAAGTTTTAGTGCATGTGATTGTATCGAATGGTCCTTTTGTGTAAGTAGGACAATAGCCTGACCCAAATCCCAAATCTGGTTAAATAGAAGTAGTGCAGGATAAAAATCATGTTGAGGTCTATTTGTGTTCATACTCCTTTAAGCTTTAAATCAATAATGACGGAGTATGCATGAAATTAAACATCCATATGATCACAAGCTTTGAGAGAGACTAGAACGGGCGATACTTTCCACTTTGATAGACCCGAAACGCCTCCCTTTTGCAGGGAAACAAACCGTTCAAGCCGCAAAATAACCCCAGAATTCGTCACAGGTGCCTTGATGAATGTCTGCACATTTATTTTCGACTAGAGGTAATGAATAGGTTTAACGCTATCTGAACGTCGGTTATTTATTATACGTCATAGTGCGAACATTTGCACACCTTACAAGAAGTCATTCATGAATCATGGATGCGAGTGACAACACTATTTTTAAATTGCTAATATCGCAACACACAAATCATTACACAACGAGCAAATGGGAAAATATTGCACCCTCTACGAGAGTCCTGCATTTAAAAAGACACAAGCGGTTTTAGAGTACAAACTAAGTTTTTAATTTATGAGAATGCACTCTGCAATAAAACTAAACGACGGAGAAAAGCAGTAAAACTACAATTTAATTCCTAGACACAAGAAAACTTTAGTTCCACAAGTCGTCGTTGTTAAGAGGAGAGGAATTTTAAAAAATTTAGTTTTTTTTATTATTAAAGATAACCAAATGCCTATGAACTACCGTAGTTTGTAGCATAGTTTCTTGCTGAAATGGTAACAAAAACCGTTTATTATGTTTATCATTCTTAATTATTAAAACACCGTTATCAATTATTAAAAAGTAAACTACCGTACAACATTAATGCGCAAAGCAAAGCTGGATGATTAAAATCCCGAATAATAAATATTTTATAAAAATGAAAGTAAATGAATAAATCTTAATTTTTTAACTTTTAAATGCAAGCAGCGGTACGAATTTGATAAAAATATTGAAAAATTACAGTCTCCTTTAGTCTTTCTAAATAATCATCAGTAATTAATGAAATAATGATTAGTTTGCCAACCATTGGGTTTCCAAAAACAAAACAATTTTTTGCACGATAGGACGTTTTTAGTGAGTTACCGCGTTTGTTTCGAGACCGGTATGTTGTATTTACTGGTTTCTATGATAAATATAAGGTAAGTAATTTACTTACCGTTTTAGAACGGTAAGTAATTTCAAACATTAATTAAATAAAATCCACAAAACATTTATTGATAGCATAAAGATTATTATAAACAAACCCAACAAATTATTTCATATTAAAATTAAACGTACAACCACTACAATTACTAAGTGTAATTCCGCTGGCTTCTTTGGTACTAGCGCTAACAGAAACTGTTGCTGAATTCAACGTAAGTCCTCCGCCGTCTTCAGTAGTTTTTTTTCAGTAATTTTTTCACTAATTTCACAACTCTTTTTCTTTCATCAGCTTTAAACGATTTTATAGGCATTTTCATATCGAAATCTTAATTTTTCAGGAATGAACAACCAATGTCCCAAGCTTGCTCGATTTCACTGTTTACACCGTCGGAGTCTGAGTCACACATTTTTTTTTGAGAAAACTCATGAAATGTTCTAAACTGTTTTTTGAGAATTGTATTTTTTTCAAACTATCAACAAACTTTTGGCTAGACAACATTAACCTCAACTATTGTTAACAATAATTCATTCAATTTATAACAATTCGAGAAACACCGTGGCGACACTTTAGGTAAAAATGAAATGAAATAATTGACATTTTTATTTAAATTATTTATTCAGATCAAGGTAAAAATGTTTCTATAGTGCAAAAAAACGTTATAAGCATCACAAACATTAAGGACTACCGATCTTAGACAATAATTGGAGTGGTCGCTTCGCTCCTCCTTCAAACAATTGTCTTCGATCGGTAAAATGTCCTTACCGTACTTAATGCTTAATATACTATAAAGTCTTTTTTGTTTAATGTTTTGTAAAAATTGAATTTTGGAATGCATACATTAGGCGCAGGCCTTGTAACCTTGTATATTTTTCTAAAAAAAAAAAACAAACTGAGAGAATAAACATAACAGAAATAAAAAACAGCAAAATTATAAGCGAATACTAACTATATTTTTACAATATCTTCCAAATTTAAATTATGTACAATTTGAGGACTTGAAATTTTAGCTTTGGTCATTTAAAAAATAAAATTTAAAACTTTACCGCCCCGTGCGGAGTTATTTTTAAGAAAAATGTAAAAATTTGAAGCCAGTTATAAATTTGAAAGTATCTTGCCAAATACCCACCTACCTTTCTGTTATTTTTTCTTGTAGCATAAAAAATCTCAAAATACATCTCAAGTAATTTGTAATTACATAACAAAAAACAAAGCTTATTTTGGGTTATCTACATGTACTTATTATAAACACGTATTAGTAATTTCATATTTTATTTTCAATTAAACAAGATGAAATTGTTGAGAACGACCAAGCTTGTAAAAGAGAGACCCCTCACCGTCAAGACGATTAAGTATGTTATTTTTTTAAATTAATAGCTTATATTTCTTTCAACCTATAGATCAGTGTTGCGTACATTAAATATTTTATGTACGAACTAGTTTTATTATCTAATAATGCACCCTCATAAAAGCCTATTTATTAAAAAAATAAAAAAAGACAAATTGCAAAAATTATTCTTAATTTAATTACTATTATAAGTTGATTTACCTGTTCAAAATATGAAGATTTGTTAGATTAGCGTTTTTTTTTTGCAAGAAAATTCCAAGTCGACTTCTTTGTCTAAAAATATATAAAAATTTTCTCTTTTTGCGTCAATCTTAACTATAAGACAATCTCGAAATCATTGGTAACAATAAATGCCGAAACAATAGACGAGTACAATGAAAAGAATTTAATATCGCTTTGAGAATCGATTTAGATTTTTTTAGAGTCTGACACTACTCGGTATCCAGACATAATGTACAGGTGTTTCAGAACTCGCGCTCCAGCAAAAAATTCCAAGTAAGATAAGATACTAGGAACATGAAATAGTATATTAAGCATCAAGAACGGTATGGACATTTTACCGATCGAAGACAATTGTTTGTCTTGTTTAACGTTCGTGATGCCTTTGATATTTTTTGCGCGATTGAGTTTTATCAGTTTTTTTAATAAAATCTGCAAAAAATGTTCTAGATCGCCAAAATACTTTGGCGATGATTTTGAATGTTTACCGATTTAGCGACAATAAACAAAATACTTACCGACGAGTTTGGGATAGCAACAAGTAAATACAACTTTCTGTTTTGGAAACAGACGTAGTAAACAATCAAATAGGGTCTAATCGTACAAAAATCATTAAAAGGTTCTATCTGTCAAACAATTTTGATATTTATTTTTGAAATTTGACCTTTTTTATGACTTTTTATTGTTACCGATGATCTTGTAGGTATATATTGTTTTATAATTATTGAATAAAGGTACAAAAACTTTGCCAATAAAATTTATAAAAAAAAACAAATAAAAATAGATATTAGGTGTACAAAAAAGTTAATTTTTTCCAAAAAGAACGCAAAACGCATAATCGAGTTTTTTTGTATGCCTACTGAAATGGATGTTTAAATGACACTACATATCAAACGATGTCAGTTCTGCGTCGATTTCTGCATATCAGTGCTCGTCCAGTTTGCGATATGTACGAGTAGCTCTAAAACTTGAAATTTGTTTCCCTAACAAAATGAAAAAAACACGTAAAAAGACCGTTGTATCACGCTTGCTTTGATGACATAATTAGCTTTGCTAGTTGTTGAAAATCTCGTTGAAATTTACTCTCGACTTTGTTCCAGGAGTGTTTCCATACCGGACCGCAGCAATGAACGGCTCCGAGTTTTTAATTTTACCTGGTTGGGAGCTGATAAACTTGACTTTACCGGAAGTGAACTGGAGCAACACTTCAGACCCGGAACGAGACGCTTGGGAACAATGGAGTTCTTTGATGCAAGATCGTGCAGTGGTAGTTTCTCTTTTACTCCTTTTCTCGATGACAACCGTCTTTGGTAACATGCTTGTAATCCTTGCTGTAGTTCGAGAACGATATCTCCACACCGCCACAAACTACTTCATAACATCTCTCGCCGTCGCTGACTGTTTAGTGGGCTTAGTGGTGATGCCTTTCAGTGCACTTTATGAAGTGTTAGAACACACGTGGTTTTTCGGAACTGACTGGTGCGACATCTGGCGCTCACTCGATGTGTTATTCAGTACTGCATCAATCTTAAACCTTTGTGTAATCTCCTTGGATCGGTACTGGGCAATCACTGACCCTATAACATACCCTATGAGGATGACTCGCATCAGATCTGCCCTTCTGATAGCCGCAGTTTGGATTTGCTCAAGCGCGATTTCCTTCCCGGCTATCGTCTGGTGGAGGGCCGTGCGAACCGAACCCATCCCGCCCTACAAATGCCCTTTCACCGAACACCTAGGATACCTCATCTTCTCCTCAACAATCTCCTTCTACTTGCCCTTATTCGTCATGGTGTTCACTTACTACCGAATATACAGGGCCGCAGTCGCCCAAACGCGATCTCTACGTCTCGGTACTAAACAAGTACTGTTAGGGTCAGGTGAACTCGAATTGACCTTGAGGATACATAGGGGAGGTACGTGCAAAATCCCTAATCCCGAAACAAGACATTTATACTCGACTCAAGAAGACGAACCTTTAACGGCGTTACAAAATAACGGATTGGCAAGAATGGCCTCGACAAGATTGGGACCACATAGCAAGAATTTCTCTTTAAGTAGAAAATTAGCCAAATTTGCTAAAGAAAAAAAGGCAGCGAAGACTTTAGGGATTGTGATGGGGGTGTTTATCGTGTGTTGGTTGCCGTTTTTCGTTGTGAACTTGCTCTCTGGGTTTTGTCTGCAGTGCATTTGGCACGAAGAAATTATCCTAGCGGTAGTCACGTGGCTAGGGTGGATCAATTCCAGCATGAATCCGGTGATTTACGCCTGCTGGAGTAGAGATTTTAGAAGGTAAGTGAAGCTTTTAATAATTAATTTCAAAAAATTTTTGTAAAAATAAACTCAAAATTTTTAGTATCTTAACCAAATATTGTTCTTTAAAGCTCACAGTTTTATATATTTTTCTAGGCTTAAAATCCTATCTTTGTAGCTTATGATTTCGACTCAGGTGTACAAAAATAAAGAAAATGATTTTGTCATTTTGTAAAAAGTTACAAATTAATTTGATTATATATAAATATTTTTTCTACAACTCCAACAGAAAGTAAATTTTTACTCCATAATTTCACAAGGGATGTGGCCAATTACCTTCCTCATCTGTCAAAATTACAATAAAAATTTACCAGGTGAATAAAAAGTATGGAACCAAACTATTTATTAAAAAAAAAATAATTGATGAATGATAAAGTACTATAAAAATGCGATGTTTTATCTAGAATAAAATTTTTCGTAGTTTTTTTTTGTTTTTGAGTTCTACAACTTTTTTAATTTTTTTAAATGGCAACCCACTATAAAAATTGATAACGTTTTTTACATTTCTAGAGGTCTTAAAGACTCAATAAAGTGCATAAAACGTTATCGGATCAAGTTTAAAAAAATTCGAATTTTTTAAGTTTTTGAAGGTGAGCGACAGTACGAGTAAAATGGTAAAAATAGTTCATTTACCTTAAGTCGTAAAAACACTTAAAATATGGTTTCCAACACGATGCAACAAGTTAAAGTACTCTACGATGCATAGTTTTTGAGATATTGAGTTAAGAATAAAACTAGAAGCATAAGCACTAGAGGCATTTTCATATTTGATGGCGAAAACAAAACACTGTAAAATGTCAGAAAATTTACTAGTCAGTGTCAATTTTCTCATAAACGTTACAAGTGGGATTAAGTTTAAGAGATTTTAATAATTTAGTAAAATAATAAAACACGTTCATTAGTCTTCGAAAAGAGTTAATCGGGAAAGATTCTTCTCATGTAGTCCCACGTAGGACAAATTATTCCTTGTGCTTGATCACGAATAATCTTTTTATTACTAATATGTGACATTCTGAAATAATTAACGAACGTCTCTGAAAAAGGTGACAAAATGTCTCTACCTATATCCGATTCTGACCAAAAAAATCAATTTTTTTTATTCTTATAAAAAACTAGTACTACGAGTAAATTTAACCGGAGAATATGCCTAAACAAATCATTTTTCTTGCTGGACCATAGGAAAAATTATATGTATCATACGGGAGGAAAGTGTCTTTTCCTGTTCGAGATTTGTCGAGGGAAAAGATATTCCACTTGTAGGAGGAAAAGATACACTTTCACCCTTGTAATACAAATAATTATTGTAAAACGCTTTTAAATTTAGTAAAATAATTAGTCATAATAAGTTAATGTCTTTTATTTAATTTAAAAATTTGGATTCAAACAGTAACAATAACTGTTTTTTTATTATTTGAAAAAATATTCTTCAGCAAAGTTCTACTGCAAACGCCGACAATAAAGGCCCCTCTTGCAATTATAGCCGTTACGTCCCTTATTTACTATCTCTAAGACAATCGTTTTACGCCACATTGAACGAAATGAGCCCAAATTGCAGCCAATAAAAATTCCAAGCTGATCAAAGCACCGTCTCAAAAACTCTATTTATTTTATTCCTTAATTGTTCCATCGTCATTTGCTTGTTATTTTCGAAATTCAGGTGACTGATGACTACCTAATGGAGCTTCTTGTAATGTAACTGAGCTTTATGATAGAAATATCGATTGGTACGATCTGTTACCATCGCCCAACATAGTTAATCACCCGCAGACATAATCATCTCCAGACTGAAATTTTTTTCAACTTTCATGTGACCCAATTGGTGGCACGTGTCTTTTTTATCGAAGCGATAATTTCTCGCCGATTTAAAAACGTACAAAATTAATACATTTTTCATATGAACACGTTCAGTTGGAAATTTATAACGTTGCTATTCGACGTGGAACACGACTTTTGAATGTAAAAATCTGCAAACGAAGAGTTTGATAAAAAATATTTTATATAGCATAAAGAGTTAGAAAAAAGTCTTTGTTTTGTTTCATGACAAACAAAGTCGTGCTTTGGCAAATTTATTTTTGACCTTCTTTATAATTTACGAATAATTTCGTTCAAAGCTGCATGGAAATTGCATAAAATTCTGAGGGGTAATAAAATTTTACGACTGCTGTGTTTGTTCAACTATATAACTTATACTTCGGCTTAACAGATATAAAGTTGTAGTTTTTTGTTTGAGGAACGTTTTGTGTTTTTTGCTGAACATTTCTTATAGTTTCTTTGAAGCAGCTGAGTCTATTTCCGCCCGATGTGAGTAAAAATGAGAGATTACGAAATAAAATAAAAATCAACGTTTACTTATCATCGGAAAGATAAAGTCAATAGCTCTGAGCAAAAAATTAGCTGCGGTAATTAAAACGGAATTTCGTTTGAAATCAATTTATCGATAACGAAATAGTTGCCGCTTTAGGCGTGAAATAATTCGATTACTTTCACGTTAAATCACTGCTAATAAAGTAATATTTGTGATGACGTTTCTGTTTAAAAAAGATGGTAAGATACGCTGATTTAATTAAGGGATAGTCGTGAGCACTAACAAAAGTTAATTTTTTTCTCCAACTCCACATTAGTAAACCAATCTTGCTAATAAACTCATTAAAACTTTATTCAGAGTTAGATAGAACACGTTTTTCTTTAAAGAGATAACTTTCCCAGACTGGGTAATTTTACAAAATGCAATCATGTTATTTCCATCCGATACTCTTATTAAAATAAATATTTCGAATCGGGAAATATTCAGAAGCAGTGCTTTTGAGAAAATTCAATTTTGCGGAATTAGAAATTTGCCGATAACTTTATTATTGGTATTAGACACGCATTGCCATGTTCAATTCGCGTCGGTTATAAATTCAAACCATCTGTTAGATCTGGCAAATTTCGTTGCTTTTATTTTTTGCAAATGTGTAACCAAAGTCGAGTTGGAATAAAAGAAACTTTATTCCTCTTCATGCTAAATAATGAGACAGCCATTGTTCGCCCCTTTTTACATTCATAACTGTAAAACACAAACAAAAATTTTTCCAAACAAAAATTTTAATTTTACCGATGAGCTAATTCTGGATGTTTCTTTTTCGATGACTCAGCGTTTTTCATCGATTGGTTTTGGATAATGCAGAAGTGAGAATCCTTTGAAGGTGAGTAAGTAAACAACAACAACAAAATTACATCTGGAGGTATTATAAATGATGGTCGATGTTAGCAGAGTTCGCGTTGTGACCTCAGTAAAATCGGCCATTTCTGAACGAGAAACATTCAGATGTCGACAGCACATGTTCCTCCTCACATTTCGGCACTAAATTAATGATAGCTGGTTTAAAGTTGGACGTTTCAATTAGGTGCTGAGAAATGTCATTAATGCGGAATCTTCATGACAATGGAAATAATGAGGGCAAACCATGTACCACATATTAACTAATCTAAAAAAAGATTGTAAATGGCGCCGTTTGTGTTTATCGCAACTTTCTCAACAGATTTGAGCACATAAAAATGAAGTTATGGCTTTGTGGGTACTTACAAACAAAACACATGTTCCTAACTTTGGCTCGCAAATTTATAAGCGGAAAAGAAATTTGAACGGTCTCGTGAGTGTCTTTGCAACGTTTGACAAATCACTACACTCGCTCGCCAGCCGCCATTTGCGAACTTAAATTTTAAAATAGCGTTTTGTTGGCTTATCTGGCAAATTTATGCAATAAAGTTTTAAATTGAACAAAATTTTGTAAATATTTGCCCGGCGCATCCATTTTTAAACACTTTACTAATAAAAATTATCTAAATAACAAATATTACAGGCATTATTGTTTGCTGCAATTGAACCAGCAATCACCAGTGATTGAATGAAATTTCATTATTGTTGAAACGATTGATAAATATCTCAATTTGGGTTATTATAATTAATCTAGCGCATCCACCATTTACACCCTTTGATCTATTGAATAATATTTGTTTCATTTTAGATAAGCAAGTTATAAAGGATGTGAATAAATTGTGAATTAGAACGTTTTTACATATCCATTTTGTTAAGCCAAATAAACCAGTCACAAAACGGAAGGTTTCTAATAAGAACAAAACGATAATAAATGAACGGGAGGCAGCATTCTATAAGTTGAATAAAAAATATGGAACTAAACGTTTTTTGCTTAAACTATTTATTGTTTCGAAAAACTAATAAATGAATGATAAAGTACTATAAGAATGTGATGTTTTATCAAGAATAAAATTTTTCGAAATTTTTTTTGTTTTCGAGTTTTACAAAAAAAATTCTTAATAGTAACCCACTATAAAACCATTTTTTTCATAAAGGTTATGATCTAAGAATTCCAACTATTTACTTTATATTTAATTTTATCAAAAAATTTTTTTTACATAAATTGCAATTTTGATTAAAAAAAAATCGCATAACTTAAAAATAAAACAAAATCTTGTTCTCAAAATACAAATATTATTTAATTTATATTAATTATTATTTTCTGAGAGCAAATTAAAAAAAAGCGCTTGGTTCCATATTTTATACACACCCTGTATATTAAATACATAAAATTTTTATTATTCTACAATAAATAACTAAATAATTTTGGTTAAAGTTGTCAATATCTATGTGTGTGGTTGTCTTTTAGTAATGTCTCTAATGCTGTAAAGAAGAACTCGTAATTCAATCCAATTATTAAAACAGTTTTTGACTCTATTTTTTTAAATAGAAAGCTGCTCAATTTTGGTGTCTTTCAGTTTTGAATTAAATAACAAAATTAAATAAATGTTTACAAAGATGTAATGTTCTGCAAGTTTGGTATTAACACCAAATAAGCAGTCTGGCGCATTCACCATTTTGTTACTTTTTGTATTTGTATTTATCTACTTTGTTTTACTATTTTTTTTTAATAAAAGGTTTTAATGTGAAAGATTAATCCCGTATTGTATGTGGAGTCAAA